ATAAAGCAATATTTCCACAAGGCATCTTTAAAAAGAACGGTGGAAACCTAATACTTAGAATTCCATTTATTTGATTTACGTTTTAGAGTGTTATTTATTCCAGTCCAAAAGGCCATTTGTGTCGGCATCGACTAGTTATAAGGATCTCCTTTGATTAGAAACTGGGTACTTTTATCTTGCCTCTAAGAATCATTTAGATTAGCAATACCATGTGACTGCAAAGAAAAAGAAAAAAAGAACATCTAAAAGATCATAGAAGTGCAGGTGTTTCCTTTAATGAGAATTGTCCATATAGCACTGAGTTTTTAATTCACTGAGGGAATCCTTTTTGAAAATACTCTTATATATTATCAGATAACATACATTATCCTAATTAACGAAAGGTAACTAAAGGGCCCAAGAATCTGGAACCACTATGAAAATGGGCATCGTTATCACTGTTATAATAGGGTAAAGGGTATGGTTTCTTTGTTATCATGGCCTCACCTACCTCTCTTTCGCACGGTGATTCCGCATTCACCGAAATACCACGAATATCAGAGCCATTGTAATTGCAAATGATATCAAGTGAAGATATTGTTATCCCTCCTGTCCTTGCAACGAAATTAGTATACAAGGTCAGAACTTAACCCAAACATTTGCTGAGGAAGCAATAACACATGAATACAACAAACGGTTCCCAGACAAAGACGGAATACACTTACAAATGCCACTTCAAAGGCGGTGAAGACGCGAAACTTGGGCACCAAACGCACACGAGAATGACAATCCAAATTCAAGGCCTGTGGTTACATCACGGGTTTACAGGACGTCAGAGTGGAAACGCCTCGGAAGGACACTCTTACCCGTAATGGAACGTCCCGGAACATGAAGACGCATGTGTAAACATTGTGGAACTTATGTGTGGGTGATGGTATCTTTTTTGTATACGTGAACGCAACTTTGGATGTTTTAGAATATGGCGAAATAGGTCTTGTTGCTGAAGGAGTAGATTGGTCTTTTAGGGTTATTGTTTTGTGAACTATGGCAGATGATGAGGCAGAGGGACACACAAGTGGATTCGATAACACTGCTGACTACGGGCGCAGAAAACCTTTTCTTTAGTTGGAAGTATAATGTGTCTATGCCCATCTTCCCCCATAAAAGCATATTAGATAAAATAAGCCCATGGAAAACAACCATATCAACCTAGTTTGGTTAGGTTATCATATCATTTCCACTTTGGAACAAATATGATAAGAGGGACAGTGCGCCATTAAGTTTAATTGGGGTAAGGGAACGCTAGCTGGGCCAAACGTATCGAAGTTATCATTGATTATTGAATGGGACACAAAAGACTGTCATTTAGCAACATCTTACAATTTTTTCAATGCATCCCTCCCACCATACCCCCACACCCTGGCCACTTCGAGTCAGTCTCCTTATTTCTAACCCTCCTTGCACGTTTCCTTTTTACGGGAAAGTGTGAATGATATCACATATTTTCTTTTGTTTTACTGTTAATCATGCTAAGGAACGCTGTCTGTATATGTCTTACTTAGATAATATGATAATGATAAAGATTATAAAGAGAATGATAATCCAAAGGTAACAATGACAATGGGATTATATTGACAACAATAATAGTGATAATAATAATAATAACAATAATGATGATAATGATAATAATGATAACGATAACAATAATAATGATAATAATAATTAATACTAACAACAATGAAAATAATATTGATAGTAATGATGATAATGACAACGATAGTGCTGATAATAATGATATTGACTATAACAATGATAACACCAATAATGATTGTTGAGATGGTGATGCTGATAACAACAATAATAAGAAATGTAATAAGCTTAATAACAACACCAACAATGATAACAATTAAGAAAAATCGTGACTTTACAAGATAGGGCAATTATATATACCTACTTTAGGGACGTTTCTGTTTCCATGACATTGTGATTCACATAGCTTAACGTTAACATCTCTGGGGTTCTTATGGCAGAAATTCGGGAAATCGCAATGTTTTGCAGATGTTAAGAAGTTCATTGCAAACTTTCCTGTTAAAGATTCCCTGGGTTTTTGCACAGTACCAAGGGATGTTTATTAAGCGTATTCTCTTTCTTCTTCTTCCTCTTCTTCTTCTCTTTCTTCTTTTTCTTTCTCTTCTTTTTCTTCTTTTTCTTTCTCTTCTTTATCTTCTTTTTCTTCTTTTTCTTTTTCTTTTTTTTCTTCATCTTTTTCTTCTTTCTCTTCATTTTCTTCTTCTTTCTTTTTTTATTCTTATTTTCTTCTATTTTTCTTCCTCTCCTTTTACTTATTATTATTATTATTATTATTATTATCATTATTATAATTATTATTATTATCAATATTATTATTATTATTATTATTATTCCTTTTCCTTTTCCTTCTCTTTCTCTTTCTCTTTCTCTTTCTCTTTCTCTTTCTCTTTCTCTCTCTTTCTCTTTCTCTTCCTCCTTCTCTTTCTCTTTG